TGTGTGTGCAGTCTCGCCGGTGTGTGTGTTGTCCTGCTGCTGTGTGTGCAGTCTCGCCGGTGTGTTGTAATACCTGAGTTTGTGTTGCACAAGCGCCGCAGCAGCTGCCCGGCGATGGGGCCTCAGCCTGCCGAACTCCTTGTAGCTGCGGTAATATTGCTGGATCAGCACGGCCGCGCGCCGGCTCTGCTGGAACTTCTTCTGCTCGTGGTAGCTGCGGAATTTACTCTGGATAAGGATGGCGGCCTGCGTCATCTTCTTATAAAGTGCATACTGCCAGAGGACAGAGAGGCTCACTGTGAGAAAGTGTTTTCACACTACGGCCGGTGTCAGTTGCCCCTATTCCCACCTATTTTGTTGCTGCTGCCATACTTTAATGTCATATTTATATAGATAAAAATCACTGTTATTTAAATAAAACATCAGGATAAACAATAGGTAATCCGATACTGCAAACAAAACAAACATTATCAGGAACGATGTGGATGGTCAGTCGTGTTATTTTTCACATGTGCCTTGCACACTTTGGCAGGAGGTGTGACAATGTTGGGCAGCTCCCTTCCAGCCTGTCCTAGTAATGCACAGACCTGGAGCAGAGAGGTTAGAGCCGCAGATGAGTATGTTTTAAAGCCACATTACCTTCAAGGCTATCCATGTAAGCTTGTGAAGAGAAGAGAACAGAAGTGAGGAGACTGTCAGTGCAAGGAAAAGCAAAATCACCTGATGCACTATAGAACATGGGGGTTTACAAGCCCTGAGAGATGTCGCAGGCACTCAGACTCAGAAGAGCTATCTTCCTCACAGTGGCAGAGGAAGTGTTGCATTCGAGACATCACAAAAAAGCACTTTAAATGCCAGATTCTAAAATCAACATTATCGCGCACTTGATGAGTGCAATCTTTCTTAATTGCTAAACAAGGAGGCTGACATTTCAGTAAATGTAGTGGGTGCAGCGAGTCCTCTTTTAACTGTTCAAGATTGCAGGAATCATTCAGGACTGAAAGTGCTTGCAGAAGTGCGAGTTATCGCCACTGCAGTTATTACTGAGACCTGCTGAGTGTAGGGCCACTGAGAAAACCCAAACACCCACCAAAAACCCCTGCGCACGCAAGGAGAACATGCCGGCTCCACACACACAGACGTCTGTGGAAGGAATCAAACCCAGGGCCTGGAGTTGTTTGGCAGATGCGCTGCCTACCTACCACGATGCCACCATGCCAAGGAGATCTGTCTTGCTCAAAATCCATAAGACAGGAAAACAGCTGTAAGTGAACATGGCTGCTTGCCTCTCACCGATGGCACCCTCACCCCCTACCCCAGTCCTGCTGCCTGAGTGATCTGCATCTCTCCTGGACTGAGGCCTCAAGGATGAGCTCAGTACAGACAGCTAGATGGGTCTTTCCACTAGCCCAATCTGTCTCCAGCCAGCTGTGCATGGACACAGCTGATTAGCATGAAACTATTTAAAATACAGACTGTAATAGTCAATATTACCTGATTTATAGAACATGGCACACTATAGCATGCAAGCTGAAACCCCATCAAGAGTGAAAAAGACATGAATAACATTTATTAAGTCAGTCACACCTAAATGTTTCTAATGAATTTTCTCTTTTGAAAACTTCTAGCTTGGTTTGGAACAGTCTTACCTATTTTCAGGTAATTACTTATTATGTAATCCTACTGATTTTGAGTTTTTTGTGTGCACGCTTGGGAAACTACAGTTGCATTTGACAGTCTGCAGATAATGATGTAAAATTAAGACAGACATCATACAACAGTCCTGAGCAAATGCACGATTAAGATTAAAAGTTAAAAGCAAAAAAACAGAAATAATTTCCTCTTTAGATGTAACAGCGTACTTGGAAAGATTGCATTTTGATTTCTTGTGTTTAAAGCAGGACTGTATTAAATAGAAGATGAACAGAGCTGTGAAAGAGCAGCAGTTTGCTGGTTTCATTAATTCACCTCAATTTAATGCCTGTTTTAGCAGAGACACATGTCTCTATCCCAGACAGGGGGCACAGAGCATTAATTCTGTCTAATAATGCGACACAGTGAGAGGGATAAGTTTTTAAAACGTTAGTTAAAAAACAGTATTCAATTTCAGATGGTGCAAAGACAGCACTGAAAATAAAACGCTCTATTTGTCCTTGTGATAGAGAATGGGTTTTGGCACCAGTAAGTATGATTATTCCAAGAGAAATTCAGCTGTCATCACTAATGCAAAACAGCAGCCTGCTCTAGGAGTCAGGCCAGCAAGTGGATAGGTGGCTGTTACATTTCAGCTGGAATATCCTAACTTTTATCATAACAGACGTTTGTGCAAGTATTCATATGGCTCAGGGCCACAGTCTGGCTTGTCTTTGATTAATTTAAAGTACCGTAAATGACCATTCTTTCTACTTCATTAACAGCTATATCAATAAAGAAGCTGCAGGACCACAATACACAAAACAATATATTTATACACGTGACAATGCAGGGTGTGTGGATTATGTTCCTATGAACAAGCAGTTATAAAGGGATGCATCCTGGGATAAAATGACAGTGTGCTGACCGTGCAGCTTACCTGTTTGTACTTCCTGTAGCAACGCTGAATGACTGCAGCTGCTACTTCCTGTTGTTCTCGTAATGGCCGACCCTGCACACAAAGGAAAGCGGGGGGTCAGTGTGTGAACAGGGCCCCGTCAGAGCTTGCTTGTCCAGAGAGAGAGCTCTGCACTTTCCCTTTTGCTTCCTGTGCTTTACTGGCATGCAGCTACATATGAAGCTAATGGAGCCCAGGGCTGTACAGTGTACAGGTCCACTTCACAGCTCTTTGGCGGGGTGCGGATGAGGAAACAGGTGACATGAAGACGTCTGCTAGGTTGATTTGTCAGTGTCTGTGAGGGTTTCAGTACAGTGCTTGGATCAGGTCCTCTAGCAGATTCAGATCTTTTAGCCTGTCAGTGTAGGATTTTTTACGGAGCCCACGAGTGTATCTGACTGCAGGGGTTGCGATCGTTTTCGCACAGCTAGTTCCACATCATCGGCAGTCCAACTCTGAGGAGCTGGCTGTACAGTCCTTGTCTGTAGGGGTCCAGGGCTCAGCAATGTCCATCTGCGCAGCAGAGAGAGGTGGTGTGAGCAGCGTGGTGGAGTGGAGATGAATCAAAGTTTTCTGAAGACCACGCCTGATGGATGTCAGTGAGTGAGGCTCCTTCTATACATCTACTGATGCCCTCCTTAGTTATTAGTGGTATTGACTATTGCTGCTGGCCAGGAATTGATGTCATCAGGTGGTTTCCATAATGCCCTCCTGCTGGGGGCTAGTCACTGCTCATCTACCCCCGGCCCCCAGCTGGACTCCTCTCTCCTGTTCCAGAGCACAAGGCTCACTCTACCACCTCTCCCCACCTTCGACACGAAACCATACTTGTGTACAACAGACCTATTGGGAAGTACAAGTGTGATGTTCTGGGCACAGGACTCTACTTTTAGTGATTATACCTGACTATACTGATCACGACTTTGGACCTCACTTGCTCATTCCGATGTGACAGTATTCTGGCACAACAACGCATGTCCCATGCTGCTCCTGTAACAGTGGCTTTCTTTCGAGACAAGGATGTAACACGCATGTCATGGTTGCCCCACTTTCCAGACCAAAGCCCTATTAAACATTTGTTATACAAGCTCAGAAGACTGCAACACTTTCCGTAAAAAGGTATTTCCAGTTCTCATTCTTAAATGCACTCTCCCATAATCTCCACTTCTGTGGCGACTAGTGCTCAGACACCAGTGTAAGGCACATGCTTGTCGAGGCTATACGAGAGGAGCAGGACAGAATCTCACAAACTGGCACAAAGCATGAGACACAGATGTCCATTTTGTATTGCTTCCAGCAGAGTCATGCACACTACCAGCCTGAAGTGTGCTTTCAGAGTAGACCCCTGCTGATCAACCCTGTTAATGACAAATGTTAATTAGCATAAGGAATTTGTGCTATGACATCTGTGTTCAATTCAAAAGCTCTAAATATAGTTATTGCCCAGATCATAACTTTGTGAATTTGTTGTGGTCTGAAACACCTTATGTTGTCTGTTATTGTCCTTTTGCTGTAGTAATGCAGCACAAGTTTGATTTATTTTACCATCTGTTACAATATTATTTTCAAACTCTTTCTGGGTTTTTCTAAAATATTTTTTTTTAAATCTGTTATACACCTTTTTCCTTCAAATGTATCCTGTTCCTTTTTTTTTTTACAAATGAAACCATGCTTTTTTTCCAGATTTCTTAATTGATTTTTCAAGCCCTTTTGGGCAACCGCTCTTCACAGACTCTGATTTCCGCACTTGTGGGATGAGTCTGCTCTATGTGCCAAGACACGAGCTTGAGGAGAGGAGGAGGACCTGGGAGAGAGCTGATGCAAGGCTGTGCAATCCTCCCAGAGAGCTCTGCCGGGAACAGATGAAGAGCAGTGGGGCTGTCCGGGCGGCTCCAAAGGCAGGTGGGTCACTGGACTGCCAGAGCAGCCTGATAGATGGATGGGCTGGGCCACATGCCTCCATGTTCACATCGGCAGGAAGGGTTGTTGTGGAAATGTTAAAGTCGTTAAGAGTCACGGGCTTGACAGCTGATAATTAGCACGGGAACAGATGCCTTTAAACAACAGTGAACAGTTTGAGATGAGGATCTCATTAAATAGGACCAAGGGGGGCTGGAGCAGCAGCAGAAGCCTGAGAGGATGGGGCACCGCTAGGCCTGGTGTGAACGAGGCTGCGCAGGAACAGCTAGAAAGGCTTCTCAAGGGAGGCCTCTTCAAGTACAAATTCTCAACCCAGAGGTCAGAGGGAATCGGGACACACCACACTGAAAGGAGACTCAGCTGCATGAAAGGACTGGATGAAAGGCAACATATTTTCTTAATGTCAAACTAAAGGTCAAACTGAAAACCCACAAAACACACAGAGTGGTCTGTTTTGTGCACAGCGGCATGTGCTGTTCTGAGTCAGTTACATATCTCTTCTCCCAGCAGAGATTAAAGGTTTCATGGAGACCCAATAACAATGGATCAACTATTAACACCATCTATGTTTTCAGAATTAGCTACTTCTCAAGTGACAGTGTGGACAGACAGTTTTTCGTTCGAAGCAGTACAGCAGTGTGCCTTACACTTTTGAAACTCAAGCTTCAGTACTGTGTCGCACCACTCAAAAACTCAAGGCAGTTCGGCTCCTCTCCTCCTCCTCTCTTTCATCTCTTATAACCATCCTTGATTCTAATGTATTTGATCAGGCTTTAACATTGCAACTTAAAAAAATATGGAGGGTTCCAAGGAGGCTGAGGCTAGCTTGTGATGCTGACAATAGCTTATTGATGAGAGCATGTCTCTCAGCGCTTTGTTGAGGGATCCTGGAAAATCAGCCCCTCTTTGTGTGAAGAGCTGTTTTGCTTTTTCTACTCTAAATCTGTTCCCGCTTAATGTCCACTTGAGTCTTCATAGTTAGCAAAACCTTCCCAAACTCTGAATGTCAAGTTCAACTCCACTACTGCACTGCAGGGCAAGCTAGTATTTACACAGCAGCCAGCCACAGCCCACTCACCTTGTAAGCTTGTGCTGGCTGCCTTGAATACTAAGCTGACAGGAAGCCTGTACCACCATGCCTACCTCAGGTGGTTCAAGCTTCTTAAACTGTGATCTGGCAAGGCTCGGAAACATTTCTAGCTTCGTGCCGTCTTCCTAGTTTTCAGTTCCTAATCCTTACCTGTAGTTTGTTTCCTGGGTTTTGGAACATAGCTTCACCCTGACAATGTTTATTGGATTCTCCTTTTGTGCTTAGTACTGCCTCTTTTGGCTTCTATACTCTGCTTATTTCCCTCGGCTCAGAGTGTGGATTTCCCTTTCTACTGCACTTCTGTGTCTGTCCAGCTTTGAACCCTGCCTGTTGGGATTCCAACTCTGGCCCATGTTTCGCCTGCTTTTCCCTGCTTGCTGCAAAAACTGCGTTCTGTTTACGCTCTTTTTCCTGCCTCCACTGCGTATGCCTGACTCCTGCCTGCTCTTGTGTTTATCTTGTGAAAACAGACTGCTGCTTTTCTCCTGTGCGAGCAGCAAATACATGACACTGAATAAATGAATTGATAAAGTTCGTGGGGGTGGTCCTCAGGTACAGTACAGAGTGCAGTGACAGGCTGGCTGATACTTGGTTGTGCCATACCTTGTACTTGCGGAAGGCAGTCTGCACCAGCCGCGCGGCCTCATACAGCTCCCTCTGCTCGGGGTCCGACAGGGTGAGCTGAGCCAGGTCCCGCTCCACCTTGCTGTTGGATGCGCTGAGGAAGTCAGTCCAGTCAGCGGGAGACGGCAGGCTGGGCTTTTCAAAGGGCCCCTCGCGCAGCGGAGACCCCGCGGGGCTCAGGCTGGGGTTGGAGGAGGGCGTCAGGGGCTCGCTGTACAGAGACCTGGGGTAGGACAGAGCAGGGAGAGAGTTAGACTGCAGTACTTCTGTCAGCCAGAAGACAGAATCCCATTCTGAAACTCAGGGGGGTTTGTACCTAGTTATTGATACCTATTTGTGGTGAATGGGGTGCACCTGTGAAAATGCTGTCAAGCTACGTGCACTTGCTCAATTTCCAAAATAGATGAGCACAAATAAAACACCAGACCAAACTTCAAAATCACATTTCATGTGACTGTTTCAGATTCACATCTGTGACCACCTGTTTAATAATTGTGGAGTTCCCTTCAGTTTTGAAAGCAATAAAGTGTCGTCTGAGACTGTTGTCCCTGGCTGTTAGCTCAGTGTGTAAGGCTCTGTGGTCCTGCGTGGGCTCTGTAATTGTAATTTCTTGCAATGCTCTTGCTCTTGCAACGTTGACAGAATGGATGTAAAGACATGTGACGACCCATAACCCCTTCCCCCATTCCTCACCGCAGGTGTATGACACTGGGCAGGTGTTCCACATCTCCTAGGTAACTGGCCAGCCAGCTCATGGTGTTGCTGACCCCAGCGCTGTCCAAAGGTGTCGTCTCCACGGCAACAAAGTTCTCCCGTTTAATCCGCTCAGGCGTGGCTTCAATGATGTGCTCCGCTAGGGTCATCATGTTCACCTGATGCACACATAAACACACGAGCACACAATGACTTAGGGGCATTTTTCTTGTTGTGTTCAGCCTCCTTATCCTTGCCGATGGGTCTCCTCTTGTTTGTAATAATTTCTATGTTCTGTCAGTGACACCCTATACAGTACATTCCACTGGCCTTGTGTTCCTTCGCAGAGGATGTAAAACCAGCAGTCTGCAATAGAAGACTCTGCAGAGGCAGTGCAGTTCATTAACGAGTCTGGAAATTGTTCGAGATTGAAGTATTTATTAAATAACTCCGCTGTTTGTACTGGTTACTCTGTCCAGACAAGATGGATTATAAACTGGGTGAATGAGATGGCAGCAGTTGGCTAGGAGCAAGGATCTACAGAAAAAGTCAAAAATAGTTCACTTGGAATGGAAGGGGGGGAGAATCAAAAATAATCTGCAAGGGAGTGAAGTCAAAAACAGGACCCAAGCAGAAAAAAAAACACCAAACGCCTAGGTGATCAGATACTTGTACCTACATGTCTTATACCTACACCTGTAGGAAGGCAGAACTAACAGAAGACACAGGAGCTAAAGCAGTAGCATGCCATTTTAATATTAAGGGAATCACAGAAACTTGCTAATAGAGAGTGATAATGAGCACTGAAGAGTTAAGATTACATATCGCATTTCCAAGAGAGAGAAAAGATGGAAGAAGATGAGGACGGTATAGGATTATGAATCAAACTGAGAATCTTGGCATAAGAATTGAACTGAGATCATCACAGGTCTCTGAATACAGTATATGGGTTAGAGAAGTACATGAACACACAGTTAGAAGATAGGTAGAAGTGTGTTGCAGACCACTAAATTCAAATATCCATTATATTGTAGTCTTAAATAATGAAATCAGAGGCACACAAAATGTAAAGGAAGAAGTAGTGATTACAGGAGATTTTAACTTTCCTCAGATGGACTGAGAACAGACACGGCTCAAGACTATTTTCTCTCTCAGTGTGTCAGAGCACCTACTACAGGGAAAGCTCTATGGGTCTTTAGTCAAGACAAAGTGAACGAAACAGGAGAGAGGAATATTAAGGAACTGTGATCATAATAACATGCTATGAAGGATTATATTGAAGTGGTAGAGGAAGTCAAAAACACAGATTTCTAGACTATGCAGGAACAAAATGGAATTTGCAGGTGACTAGGAAAGGAAAGAACTGTGGAAAATGGATGGAAACAGTTTAACGATATCCTGCTTGAAGCAGAGAACACATCCATCCCATGTGAAGTACATAAAAGCTGTCAATAAAGCAGTGGCTGAGCTGGTTTAATAAGTCAATTAAGAAAAGAATAAGACATGCAGTATATATATAAAAAAGCACTTTATAAAATGATTTATGAAAGAATAGGATCCAGGTAAACAAAATTAACAAAATGAATGACAAACACAGACATAAGCAAATATAAGAAGTCTAAATATAGATATAAAGTCAGTAGAAGCAGTAAAAATAAAGTAATTTATCTTAGAGATCATACTGTGACGCTTTTGGATGATGAAAAGGAAATGTATAAAAACTATATATTAAATAACTATTTCATCTAGGTGCTCACCACATAAAAAGGTAATTCTCTAACAGGCCTGACGAGGAATTCAAGATAAGGCATGTCTTTGTATTGAGAACTAGGTAATTCTCTACCTAATTTATACAATGATCTGGTATATCTGGTATTTTGTGTTATATGGTCAGGAGTGCATATTACAAAAACTAAGATGCAGTGTTTCATGCAGGTAGCAACCACATGAACTATAAATATAAGATAGAAAACTAAGTTTGAAGAAGTTACTTCTTATGTTGCTCATGTTGACATCATTCATATGTTCTAAACAATGTAGGGAAGCAATAAAAGGCAAACAGATTATTAGGATATAGTTAAAAGTGTAAAAGCGAACACAAGGGTGTGTTAACAATGTTCTATGCATTATGAAATTTCACAACTTTTACTGGACTGGAATCAGTTGAGAAAAGACATTAATGTACATTTTAGGCCTGAACCTTTTAAGCCTGGAACAGATTCAAAGGGACTGTACTTCAGAATCAACAAGCCAGAGGACACAGTGGAAAATATAAGGACATTCTTTTCAAACTAAGAACAGGAAGAACTTTTTGACACAGATGGTTGTAGGAGCATAGAACAAGCTTCCTGGATATGTTTGTGAAGCTGAAACTCTGACGTCTTTTGAGAAAAGGCTGATTGAGATCGTTAGGTCAATCAGCTACAAGCAACCAAATGAGTTTGATGGCTTAATGGTCTCTTCCACTGGTAAGTTTCCTCATGTCCCGTATCGCAAGAGAATGAGCCTGGATGGCCTAGTGACACACATCTGCTGGTACCGGTCTGCCCTCTGTCTCCTCTCTCGAGCGGGTGACAGAGATGAATGGCCATGGGAGCTGGCAGAGTCTCTGTTCTCTGCGAGAAGTGATCAATGGCCAGTTCATGACCTCCATCTGTTCGTCATGATGGAGTTCCTTAACAAAGCAGCTGCCAGGAGACACGGCACAGGCCAGGGTTCGGAGACAGAAACCTGGCGCCCGCCTCCCTGCCTTCGGAATTAGGGAAAAGTAAATAAAGGTCTCCACCCAGTCCTGGCAGGAGAAGCAAGAGTTCAGCCAGTGGACCTCCTGTAGCAATAGGACATGGGCCAGATCTCCTGCAGGTCTGAGGACGCCAGCCCTGCTGCTCTCAGGCACATGGCACTGTGAGGGGTGACTGATTCAGGGCAGCAGTGACCGAGTTGCACAAGGAGGGAGGGTGGGGCTCAGTTCAGCATCTAAGAGCTTCGGTTGTGCTGGACATGGTCACTTCCAGGTTGGCAGGGTTAGCCCCCCAAGAGTTTTAGGCTTTTACAACACAACTCATACAGTTTTTATGTAACTTGTACAGCTATTTAAAAGGGAGACTGGATGTTGCTCCCAAGGTATTCCCAGCCGTAGCATTTCTGCTGGGTACGGGTGCAACGTGAGCCCCTGTTGGACAATCAACATGCCGCGTCCAACATCTCGTCACGGTGCAAGATCAGGGCACTTCAGAGTCAGAGTGGAGGCCCGAGCACTCAATCTGGGACTGTGACCAGATGTATCCAGGCATGCAGCGGTAGCACGACCCCCTCTCGAGGGCCTAAAGGCATAAGGACGGGTTACAGGTGCCCTGGGTGGGCATGCTGGAGTCCGGGGGCTCACCTGCAGGTCGTCCATGTGGGCTAGGCAGTCCTGGTTCTCCAGGTCGTCCCGGTACGAGAGCAGCTCCGTGTCCACCATCTCGCGCTCCGACATCATCAGCACGCTCAGGGGCTCCCGCTGACGCAGCCGGCTGGCCAGCTTCTCCTTGCCCAGGCTGCTGCCCCCACCTGCCCCGGCTCCCTTCCTGCCCAGGGCGGCGGGCTGCACCGCCACGGCGCCCAGAGTCACCGCCGCCGCCGAGTACAGCTCCCTGGAGCCCCACTTGGAGCCCACGCCGCCGCCGCCGCCGCCGCCCCCTGCTCCGCCCAGTCCCCGGAACGCCCCCAGCTTGTGGTGGGGGAGCCCCCCGCTGCTGCCGCCCCCCGCCTCCTCCAGGCTCTTGTCCGGGGAGAGGCTGTCGGAGAGCGCTGCCTTGGGGCTGCCGGACAGCTTGTGGAGCTGCTGCTGCTCCAGGCTGAGCGGCACAGACATGGCCTTGTCCGGCCGGCCCTGGAAGAACTCGGGGTTGGGCTTGTGTTTCTTGGCCAGGGGCAGGTCTCGCTGGCATTCGCTGCTGTAGTAGCTGGACGGCTCCGACCTGGGCCGCCTCAGGTCTGGAGGAAGACCACCCAAAATGAGTGCTGAAGAACAGCGCTGGTGTTCACCTCACTCACTGTAAGCCACCAGCTGTTCACAACCGTACCGCTCTGAGCGTTAAAATAATCGAGACCCAGACTTCTTCATGCTTGATATTCACAAGCTCCCAATCGGGATGTCAGAACTCATCGCTCATTTACAGCTCTTCCAATTAAACAACTAAATCTCATGCCGCTGACCGTTACTGCTTCCATTCTTGTATGTCTTCCTTGACTAAACCTTGGAGATTACTGCATTACATTTTTATTTTTCCTCTAAACCCTATATAATCTGCAATAATATGCAAGACCACGTACTTCCAAAACAACAAATCCCTTAAGTACAAGAAACGTAGGCAGAACTACCTAGCCTGAATGCAAGTGGGAAGTGTATGAGTCCGGCCTGCTTGTTGCTCTTTGCCCGGTAGGGGTGCCCAGTGTGTAAGAGCCGGCGATGCCCGACACTGACCTGGGCTGGGGTTAGTGGTGGCACCAGCACCGCCGCCTTTCTGCCCCGGGGCTGCCGCCACCGTGTCGCTGCCCCACGCCACCATCCAGCTGTCGGGCGCGGGGGTGTCGGGCGCGGGGGAGAAGGCCAGGCGGGGCGCGGGCGGCAGGGCGGATGGGGGCTGCTGCTGCTCGTCCCGCTGCAGCTGCTCCAGGCAGTCGGCCAGCTTGGTGTGCCCGCGGGAGCGCGCGATGGACAGGGGCAGCCGGCCCAGCGAGTCCGGGATGGCCAGCGCCCGCCGGTCCCACTTGTACAGCACCACCGCCGCCTCCATGTGGCCCAGAGCGCACGCCCACATCTGCGGGGGCACAGCACAGCACCAGGCCGCGGGGGTGAGCGGAAGAGCAGTGTCAATTCATGCCCCATCTTTAGAGGTGCAGCAGACAATATACACAAATCCACCTCTTTCACTCCCTCCATTACAACACGAGACAAGACACAAGATCCCGACTATTAGGCCCACTATATCAGTCCCTGATTATATTCACTGCTGCACAGAATTCATTACTCTATTAATTAATATGAATACACTAATTAATGCTAATATTAATTAATAGAGAACAAAGGCTTGCACACAATTCCCATCTCTTTGGTATAAAATGGTCTCTCTTGACTCTGATGTTTTACGCACTTCATATAAAACTCTTCAAAAATCTTTTTTTTTTATGTCCTGGAGAGCTATTAAATTTGGTCCAATTAATGAAATTGTCAGACCAAATAAGGAGCTGAGGTCTCGAGTGGAATATAAGCCGACAAGAGCCCTCCAGCTCTCCGAGGAGCGCGGCAGACCCCAGGTCTTCGAGGGCACACGCAGTGACAGCTCCCACGGTGCCTCCGTGTCTCACCAGCGGGGTGCAGGAGAAGTGATCCACGTTGAGAGGGTCCACCTCCAGCTCCAGGTCAATGCTGTCGGCGTGCTTGGAACTGAGGGACAGAGAGCACGGTCAGACACACTCCTGGTGCCTGCTCAGCGTGTGATGGTGTGTTCAGTGAAGAGGACTTTCTGCTTGCGTGTGGTGTGCAGTTCTGTGTGTGTCTAGTCTACATTGTGTCTGGTGTACAATATAATCTGGTGTACGGCGCGTTTATCTGGTGAACAGTGTGTGAGTCTAGGGTCTAGTGTGTCAAGTGTACAGGGTACCTATCTGGTGAACAGTGTGTGATTATAGTCTGTCAAGTGTGCAATGTGTGAGTGTAGTGTGTCAAGTGTGCAGTGTAACTATCAGAAGTAGTGTGGATGCCGGATATACTGTGTGTGTAAATGGTGCACCTTTCTGTCATTTTATCACCTGTCTGCCTTCTGATCAGATTTCTGTAACTAAAATGTAAGGAATGACTTACATTTCAAAAGCTTGTTTAACAATAATAATGCAGCTTTTTTGAAAAAGACATTTTATTCAGCTATTAATAAGGGAACTGTAGTTCTGACGTGTAATTGCCCATTATTTAGTGTACCCCTGACTTTCGATCCCTGAGACAAGGGTCTTTTTGTAACTTTTAGGCTGTATTAAACAGGCCCAATACAGATCCTTGTTTTATTTTGGATCAGCAATAATCTTCCTTGTTGTAACGTCATAATCAAGAATGACTGAAAGTTTACCTGGGATCATGCCCTGTCAGAGCTGTGGGTCTCAGTGCCTTACAAGGGAGCAGGGGTGATATAGCTCTCACTATGTCACCGTGTGTGACAGAACTGCAGGCTCACAGCCGGATGGTAAGCCAGATAAGCCACTGTGGTGGCAAGCACAGGACACCCAGGCCAAGTCAAGCCCATCCGACACCGGCAGTGCTGGGCTGACTCTGCACACATGGTAGGTCCTGGATAGAGCTGTCTGATGATATATCCCAGACTGGAACGGGTAATGTCAACCTACAAGGCCCAGCCTGCACTCTGGGAAAATGGCTTGACATGTTGATCTATCGTCTTTCAGCTTCACCATGAAAATCCTAAGCCGCTAGCGTCACAAGACCCTTTTCTACGTTACAGGGGCACACCCCAGTAAAACCACAGGGAGGCCTGCTGGTCCTCGGTGATGCCGTAGCAAAAGCGTGAAGAAGAAATACAAAAACACGACCCCATCCCGAGGGAGAGCATGCCGCGACAACAGGCGGGAAATGGGAAGATTCAACAGAAATCTGCTTCTCCTTACCGCCACTTGATGAGGGTCTGGATCAGGGTGGCGTAGCCCTGGGCCGCCGCCAGGTGCAGCAGGGTCATCCCGCGGAAGGTCTTGGAGTGGATGAGGTGCTTGGACTTGGCCCAGCAGGCGCGGCTCATCATCTTCTCGCACACCACCACCACGCGGCTCTCGAAGGAGCTGCCCGCCGGGCCCTGGCCGGACATGCACTGCGAGAGGGGGGCCAGAGGCCAGTCAGGACCCCGCCCCGCTTCCAGAGCAGGAGCGGGGCAGCCGGCCGCTGCAGTCATCTGAGAAATGAGCCACGGGCGCCTACAGGATTCCTACTTTTCTCCTCGCACACAACCCCTGCCATATTTAGATTAGCATGAGCAAAATGTGAATTAATTGTTGCCTGACTGCTGAGGTACCCTGACTTCTCAGGCTCTGTGTGATGCACCAGGAAGGTTAAGCGGATCTGGGTGTGCTAGTGTCTGCTCTATTTATAGCAGGGCATTGTGCTGCAGTTGTATTACCTTCTAGGCTTCTTTAATGAAGCAGGGCTCTGTGCATCAGCTGAGCGATGCACAGAGTGAACTTTCACATGTTGTGCCTGTTATCAAGCAACACCCGTCTCCCCCTCCAAAGCCCAGGGTGCAATACCTGTGTCTGGCTGGTGTTGCCCCCGGCGCCCCCTCCTGTCCCCCCTGTGGTCCCTCCTGCCCCCTGTTGGTGATGGCCAGACATCTCGGCCATCCGGCGCTCCATCTGTTCCAGCCGCTCCAGAATGGACATCCTGAACTGGTTATCTGAAACACAGGGAACCCACTGGTCACTCACCCCCACAGCACTCCACAGTGACAGTTCTGCTGTCAAATTCCATCTACAGAGCTGATGCAGTCAGACGCCTCACTGTTCACTTTATCTGCACACCTCAAGCCATGAACAAAAAACAAGGGAAATGATTTGACTGATGAATGCAGTCAGAGCGCCCTGCATTACTGTAAGCAGAATAAAACCCAGTCCAGCAATATTCTGACATCATTACATACGTTTATACATCTATCCTGACTATTCTCATTTTTACCTCTGGTATACATTCCCGACATCATAACCAAGCAGAATTTCTTCGGTGTCCAAAAACACTGCCTTTAAAAATGTTCTTTTGCTTCTTAAAGCCATCTCTGCTTCCAGGAGTCTGGCAGTGTCCCCTCACCATATTACCCTCACATGGATGAGTGTGACATGATATCTAGTCTTATTACAGATTTAGTTTTCATGTAATAACTTTAAAGCTATTCAGGAATGGACAAGAATTCCCTATTCCACTGAGCGATTCCGTCTTTGAGGAGCTGCAGGCTCTTCAATAAACCTGCTCCAGGACTGGGTGTTTGATGTGGTTTTGAGGACATTTGCAAAGACAGTGGGGTGAAAATACTATTGAAATGCATTAGCTTTTGTGTCTCGTCAGTAGATGCTGTATAAGAGCTTGCAGCCTGTTGCTCCTGAAATTAATCAGAGTGCTCTGCCCTGAAGCCCAGAGTCTAACTCCCTGCAGTAGCATGCCATCGTGTGTTTGTTTTGGGCTTTGAAGTCTGGAAGCACACAGCACGAGCGGAGTTGTTTTTGGGGAGTGTCTGCAGTTTGCACAAGCTTTAGAAAGCACCTGACGTGACACAGGAATACAGCTGCTGCAAAGAGGTCATTTGAGGTCACACCTTTGATCGCAGCTGTGCCTCAGCGCTCTACACAGCACAGGTTATCATGACTGACCTGGCTAATTTGATTTAATTTGATCACAATCAGAACAAAGGGCAACAAGCAAAAAAACCTGGGTCTGCTGCTCACAAAAAACCCTCTTTTCTCTCGATTACACATGCTGAAGTTCATATTTTCCCGTTTTTAGAGTTTTTGGCGAGAGATTTCTAAACAGGGCCAATGAAACCAGTTTCAGAAGTCATTTACTACGGTAAAACTGCATTTCGATATCTTTTTATGTGGCTTCTATGTGTGAACTGAACCGTGTTCGTATCTGTTTTTAAGCACACTTTTACAAGATTTAAAATATTCTGGCATGGATCTCAAATATTCTGGAGGACTGAGGCACATGCACTTTCTAACTGCTTATTCCAATTCAGGGTTGTGGGGGAACCGGAGCCTGGCCCAGCAAGCAACAAGGGTACAGGGTACACCCTGACTGGGACCAGTCCATCACAGGGCACACACAGATAGACAGATACACACACTCCCACCAGGGACAACTTTCCCAGAAGCCAAATAACCTACCGGCATGTCTTTGGACTGTGGGAGGAAACCACAGGGACACAGGGAGAAAAAACAGACTCCACACAGGGACCCCAGGGGCCCAGCGCTGCAAGGCAGCAATACTGACCAAATTGCAACCTGGCTGCAAGACTACAAATGACTTAATTCATTTGGTCACTGAGTAAGTAACAGGGACTAGACTGTCAGCTGTGCATCAACAACAGAATGCTGCTGCAGAATGACGTGTAAAACGATATTGGTTTCGCACAATGAGAGCATACCACGAGGAGATGGACCTACTTGCTCGGTGACGCATAATGAGTCAGTGGCAAAGCCAGGGTATTAACCAGAGCTTGGGCTTGAGAATACTTCCCATTCCCTAACGAACCTAAGGCACTTCTCAATCTCTGTTGCCATCCACATGCACTGCTTCTCCTGGTTAGGTTCCTGTCATTGTACACTGCCTCATCTTTTCCACTCTACGATAAGAGAGGTCTTGTCACAAAAAAACTGGCACCAATTACAGAAACCAAATCATTAGTGGTTGGATGCTTACAACATCACTGGTAGTGAGAGCAAATGGTTAACTCAAATAAAAATCACCCGTCAGTCACAGTGGATTTTGTCTACACTGTTGGTGAGCGTTACTGACATCCGAGGTACACGGTATGACCAGTTCTGCAGGAATTATAGTCTCTGATATAGTATAAAGATGAATTTATTTACTGTGGGGAGAAACACATGCACCGATCATCAAAACATGTGAGCACTGAGAACCGCTTGAGCTTTGCAAACAAAACAGTTTTCCGTCTTTCTGGGGAAAGTAATGACGGAAACGGGTTCGAGGGACACCTGGAATCAAGACTTCTAACCGCCCGAGCCTTTTCAGCTCAAGCACATCAGACATCGTTCCTGTGCCTCTTCATTCTCTGAGGGTTTGGGCCGCGGTCATTCGATCTCATATGCACATCAAATCCAAACTACAGAAGCAGTCGAGCGCTGTGATTCATTTGCGCTCCGCCGTGGATGCGGAAGAGCTGACGCGCGCGGCAGGACGGGACGGGGCCCCTCTCCGTGCCAGGGTGGATACCAAGTGCCCACTGCAGCAGCACGTTCAGCTGCACTGGCATCTCTGCTAGGTGCTGGGAGGCCGTTGCCGTGGCAACCTGCTGCTCGGCGGTATCTAGGCGACAGGCGTGTGCTCGTTCGTGTGTGTGTGTGTGCGCCTCCTGGAACATCAGCCCGCTGACGCATGGGATCCGACAGACGGCCAAAAGGGAAGGGAGCGAGCAGGACCCGGCGGCCACACCGGCCCGGACGCCCAGCGCAGGTGCGCGAGACCGCAAGTCCGGACATTATTCCTGTTGGCAAAACAACTGTCTGCCACACAACAACACGTTTCACAGAATACCAGCCAACCGTGATGAAGGCATTACAGTTTCACGGGTGCAGGATATCAAATATAATTTCTTACACGTATGGAATTCCTCCCATTTTGCTTCGTTTTTACAGACTTTTGCATTCAGGAAAGCGATGTCTAATGAGTCGATTTCAGATTCATGTCTAAACTCTGCCAGCGTCACTGACCTTGGTGTCCGGTACTCTGCTGTAGCATGTCTTACTCAAACTTCCCTTCTTCTTTCAGTACAGATACTAATATCTAAGACTGCTATTCAGTGTTCTGGAAATACTCTGCACTTCTGTGAGTCACTGGTATCATTATACAGTCCTCCGTCTGTCGTGACAGCTCTGCACTTTGTGCTCTGGCACAAACACATTTCTTCAAGTCTAGCTGTCCTTCCCTAGACTTTCTCTAAATCATGTGGTCTAGCCCTGACTTTATACACAGTATAGTCTTCCCCTCAGTAATCAGCAACATTACATAAAAAGAGGGAGTTTTTTTAGAAGAGCAATGCAATGTGTAGCCTCATATTTTATCCCTTAGGGCTAAAACAGCTACAAGTGCTTTTGGTCTTCATCGCCAGCTATTCCTAGTCTTAATGAAACAAATAGATTGCAAACAGCACTGGACTGTACTGAAGTGCCCTACCTTATTAAAATGAGCATCTGAGATGACACAGAAATAACAGGTAACCTTGTACAACTGGCAGAACACCTATCTCACAAGAGCAGACATTAGCAGCTGGACGCTTTAGAAGCACCTCATAGAGGCACTCAAACAGAAGGATGCTGTTCATTTCGAGACCAAATCAAATGGGTATCCAATTTTTGTGAGGCTGCTTCATACGGAAGCAGCCTCATACGGAAGGGCACTGTTCCCACACAGGCCCCGGGCCATCAATACACCACTCCTGCTTCACACTCATTCCTCCTGCTGAATGAGGGGCAGGCATCTCTCCCAAAAACGTGGCTCAGAGAAGTACGTGGCGCTATCTGGACAAACCTGGTTTTGTGCACAAAACCTTAAGGCGTCAATAAGCTGATCGAAGGAACAACTACTTTTCCAAGAACACAGAAACACCAGGTGCAGAGACTCGTATAAGAGGTGCCCAGAGTCTTGCGCTCGCTAGCAGAGGAGGGTGTGGGGGGGAGGGAGGGGTCACAGAGGTCGCAGCACACTGACCGGTCCAGAAGCCGCGAGCGCTTCTGTGCGTGTGTTTGCGCACACGTGTGCGGGGCGGGCACGTGTGTGCGTGTGCGCGCGTCAGAGACGGGCGGAAGGGCAGGGGCAGTTTGCAGCAGTTTTGACATGTCTTTGTTCAGACAGTGCTGCAGTGTGCTGCAGTGCAGATGATGTCATCTCCACCTGCTGCTGCCTCTCTCGCCGCCTGCCCTGCTCAGAATGCGGCGCACGTACACTGCAGAGGGAGAGAGAGACGGAGGGAGGGGGGCGCCGGGAGAGAAAGAGAGGCAGAGGGAGGGAGACGGGAGCAGAAGCCTTCACAAACAGCACTACAACAACGCTCTGACATCACCAACACCCCCTCCGTCCCCGCTGTCTGCAATAACCAACACAGACAAACACACACAACATGCTTCCTGTCGCATCCTCTTTCTCAGCCCTCTGAAGCCTCTGCTTGGACAAAACTCAGAACAGGGAAAATAAGGCAGAATAAGGTGGCAGTTCCCTGTTCTGTTTTTAAAAAGCTATATTAAACTTGTTAAAAATAGCTTTCGTTTCCACAGTTTGGCATGGCCTGATAGTCTCTTCCGAGACAGAAATGTCTTTGAAAGGATGCTTTGTTGATCCCTGCCCCCAGCTTCATACAAATACATCCCAAAACACACACTAACAGTCTACTATTGCTGACATGAATATACATACTATACAGGAGCATACACATATCAACTCATTCAAAACATACCCACACTGTTTACAGACCTTTGCATTCACTGCATTTGCATTGGATTAGCAGTTCAAGAAAGTTCAGAAAGGCACACATACTACATACCCCATTAGCAGAGGGCTCAGGTGTACAGTACTTGCCAATTCATCTTGCAGAAATTCAGAGTCAACTGTTCTATCTACACTGACATAAAAAGCAGGTTTACCATTTTACAGTGAGTACATTTAAAAACAGCAGCACTGAGTAGAAAGCACTAGGTACACTATTTCTGAAACCGAATCTCTGCGTATTCTCATCGTGTTTATCTTGTGTTTTTTTATTGTTTATTTTTATTTGTTGTTGTTGCTGTTGTCATTCTGTAAAGCGCTTTGAGAAGCCACCTTTAAAGGTGCTATGTAAAATAAAGTTGATTATTTTTTATTATTATTTTGAATGTAAGGCACACTTTTATGACCAATTACATCACAAGTCACAGAGCCAGGGCACAGCAGTCAGAATGAGGCCCTGCTTGAACCCTAAGGCCAGACTATCATGCAAATATGTTTAAGTCTGCTCTTTTGCGTCATCTGAATTTCTGTATAATAATACAGACGACAAGACTATCCAAAGGGAAAAAAAAACGCAAGAGGAGTGGGAGGCAGATACCACTCAAGATTTTTATTAATAAAAACCTCTCTGTTCTGGCATGTATACTGTAGATCTTGCACTTCAACAATGTTAGCTGTACTTTGTCTTAAAAGAATGTTGTCTTTACATTACTGTAACCAAAGAACACATAAAGATAATTCCAGTTCCACTCTGCACCAGAACCAGAATACACGTTTTGGCTGCAGTAAGGCCAGCAGAAGACATCATGCTTGGGCATTCACTGAGATCTGGGAATGGTAATTGGGTAGGAGGGGTCAACTGTATGATACTGTGTACAGTATGTATCAGCTCTCCCAGATAATAACTAAATCATTTCCAGAGAATCCATGACATAGAGGATCAGGGGTATCTCTCCTCTGGTGTTGCTCAAACTCCGTGTGCATGTATCATTTAAAATGGATCACTGTTCTGAAGAGGAAAGTATTTGGTCCAACATCAGAAATCAGGACTACCGCTCACCTCGTCTGATTCTCTGTTTGATGTGGAATAACGAACAGAAGTTTGACTGTGGATGACAAAAGAATGAGACTTGGCCCCCTGTCAAGGTCTTGTCTGCGATTAGAACAGAGCAGGTGGTCCATGCGTGTGAAGAGCTGAGCACAGTCTGAGATACAAAGCATACTGGGCAAATAACATTCCTTTACGTCCCGAAGTGTGTGCAATCCATTATCAGCAAAAACAGCGCCGAGCGGCAAAACATTTCTCATGTAAAAGGCTAAGCAAACACAACCAGCAAGTAAGAAGAGATTCTGTATCAGCACGAGTTTGTGATACCTTGAGAGTAGTGTTGAAAAAAGGTGGACTTCCTGTGCCAGGCGTTCTGTCCTACAGTGTCAGAAAACATAGCCCCTCTGTGCTAGACTCATTTAATTCCAATGTGGCCCTTGTCTCACAGCACACGGAACGGGTGGGAGTAGACTTGTGACCTTTTTCAGAAGACATCTTATCATAAACTTCACGGAGGTTTTGCACAGGGTGTCACTGCTTGTCGGATTCCAGATTGACGCTATTCTTGCCAGTGTCTGTAAAATTAAAGTTTGTCAAGATGATTATATGGTGGTGTGCTGTGGGATGCAGCAGCTGACAAGGTCAATAGCCAGATATTGTGATTTCTGCTTGCTGATCATAAAGACTGAAAACACTGTGTCAACAATTTACAGTTTTTATGTAGCAAGTAAAATTTAGCTATTGTATAACCTTTTCTTTGTTTATTATAATGCAGATTGTGTGAACAATTTACAGCTATGTATGTAGCTTAACAGCAAGTAACATTGAGCTATTGTATTGTCCGTTGTTTATTATCACGCAGACAGCTAGGCTACTGTGCTAGGCAAAGTTCTTTTCTTTGTATTGTCACAGTTCTCCTTCCATTATTTAACAGAGTACTTCTGCCTTGGGCCCTTTTCTGTTCCTTACACTACTGTCCTGTGCCTGGCTATCTCCCTGTCTGCCAGCAAGTCCATATCTTTCCGAAGTCTGGCTATCAGAAGGGCCTGGATGTCTCTCCCTCTCGCTGTTCACACAGCCTGACCTCACTGATCTGATGCAACCTCTCACAGCACCTCTTTGAACGTGATAGCACTGGTATGCAAAGTTTGCATTGGACATGACCAGCCAAAGAGTCCTGTGTTTTTGTGACATGTTTGCAAGGCATCAAGATGTACTGTACATGGGCACTACACCCCTTTATACCTGGACTACCAAGACTGCTGAGGGCTGGCCTGACCCCCCTGCAGAGGAGTGTCCCTCTCGCACTCCAGGCTGTCTGCAGGGACCCTGACCTGCTGCCCGAGAGACCCATTAGGAGTCTGACAGCTTTGGGTGCACCCTTGCTTTCACACACCACACCCCCAGGGTGCACAGACCCAAGATGAGGCAACAAAGACAGAGACCAGCAGGAATCACGAAATGAGTCAGCTATTCAGATCCCACATTGATTTCTGTTAAGTGTCTCAGTCCCAGATGCCTACATGTTTTGTTGTTTATAACACCCTTAATGACGCTTTTCTTAGGCTGTACCTCCTGAGCACTGCAAGGGCCCTGCCAGGCCTCTGTTTGCCTTCAGACCCTCAACCCCAGCACTTGCCTAAATGCAGAACACACATTACATCACAACACATGTACAAATCTGTCACTACGGTATATATGTTAACAAATAATATGTTAAAGCAAACCTGGAGACACAGGAACCCAGGCAGTTTTAACAACTTAAATGAAATTATTTTCAAAACATATGCATGAAATATCTCCTTTAAAATTTTTAATCATAGCTGTTGTGACCTTTTCACAACTGAAGTTGATGTTTTCCTTAAGAAGGGGGGTTAGGTTGCCACAATTATTTAGAAGGAAGCTGACTGCAGCAGCCTGAGCACAACCCCACAGCCACCCGGAGTCAAGGTGCGCCCCTCTAAGGCAAGAGCACTCTCTTTTGCGGTGTATGCACTATACAGAGCTCTTTCCACTCCAGACTGTTTGGCAGCTTACAGCTGTGCTAGTCAGGTGCGAGTGAGCGTCAGAGCACCGGAAATCAGGTTGCTGAATTTTCTAATACCTGGAGGGAGATTCCTATTCTGCTACAGAGGACACCAGCTCTCCAGCAGGGAAGATGTCGCAGTTATTCACTCTTTCCTGAGCATGTTAAACTGCTGCTCTCTCCTTAGTGTGTCACATCCTGCTGTTTTTAACTGCTGTGTCCACACTATGCTTAAACCGTGACTTCATTGAAATTCCACTTGTCTTTCAGTTCCATGATTTATTCTGTTTTATTCTCTAATGTGACTTAAAATACTTCTCATTCGTTTGTGAACATGTGCTGTGTACCAGCAGGGCTAACAATGTTAAAGCAACTACATATGCAATATGCTTTGGTATAAAAACAATAATGAACACTTTTCAAAAACGTAAAGTGCTATCCAGTACAATAACACACACATAATACACTGTAATGGAAGTAAGTAAATTGAAAAAGAGAAGAAAAAAGAAACACAGAAATGACCATTATTCCACTGGGTAGGCTCATACACTAACCGCAGTAACTAGTGGAACAAAACGAACGGAAGTCACAACTGTTGGCCTAACCCTCATTCAACAGTAGACTCCTGCTTACCAGAGAGTTTGCATCTGTATCTGCATACATCCTGTATGTAAATCCCCAGGTAAAGACCAAATACTAGATGAGCACAGTGATAACATAACTCATGTTTTTTGAGGGCGAACTGCCTCGAGAATATGTTTTATAAATAGAGAGGTGCTATATAGATCAATACTCCATGATAGTGTGTTGTATCATTCTCTACAGTATCCGCACAAAAGTAGTGTTTTTATGCTATCCTTCACAAAGCCTGGATACATTTCTAAATTGTCTGAGACGTAAATATTAAATGAAGAAAGAGAACTGATTCAGAGATTAACTGCAAAGAAAACTGCACTTGGCAGAATCTAGCAGAAACTAGGCTGAGATTGCCCGAGCTGAGCTCCAGCCACCAGGCTGTAGCAGTTCATAAAAGTCCCCTTTTCCCAACAAAAAACACATGGGAAAAGAAAGCAACAGTACTGTTCTACTACTAATTCTACTACTACTACTACTACTACTACTACTACTACTACTACTACTACTACTAATTTCATTTCCAAAGACCCAAAGCATTTGACATCATCCCCCGGTGAAGTACAGCACCCAGCCAGGTGGCACACAGGAGCTACTGTGTGCCAGCAGTGCCACTACACAAACATGGCTCCCCCTGTTTGCTGGGGTTTCC